GGCAGAGGAACTTGGCTTTACTGACAAAGAAGAGGTTTGTTTTCAGCTATTCAAATCTGCATTAATGCTCCCATAATGGGCAGGAGGTTCTGCTGAGGGAGAGGTCCCTATAAGTGAGATCAACTACTGGCCTGCCTTGCTGTTATCTGGCCTCTCTTTGCTTGTGGTAGGGAAAAAAAATGCTACATCCTTGCCCAAGCACTTTGGGTTTAATTCTGAGGCTGAGCATCATCTTGCTGTGCTGAAACCACTTCAGTGACACAAATGACAAAAGCCCAAGAAATCGAATCATTAGAAGTGAAATCTCTGCATAATAACCTGGAGTGGCTCCATCAAAATCTTTGTTTTATCATGGGAAGTCTTTCTTTAAAAGGATAAATAAACAAACCCCACCAGGGTCCCTCAGTGAGGCCAAAACTTGCCTCTCCCCAGAAAGAAACCTTTCATCCTTCCTTAGCAAAGGTATTTATGATCCTTAAGGGAGAGACTGAAAAGTTTGTTCTCCCCACACTGTGTCTCCCAGCCCAGCAGGGAGGAGCTTCTCTCCTGTGCCTGATTCCTGCCTCAACCTCAGGCTTAGAATCATAGAATCATAGAATCATCAGGGTTGGAGGAGACCTCTAAGATCAGCAAGCCCAACCATTAACCTGTCACTACTGGAACCCCTAAACACTAAACCACATCCTCCAGCATCAGATCCAGACAACTCTTAAACACCTCCAGGAATGGTGACTCCACCACCTTCCTGGGCAATATTCCACTGCCTGAACACCCTAACAGCGAGAACATTTTTCCTAACATGCAATCTGACTCTGTCCTGTCTCAGCTCAAGGCCATTCCCTCTGGTCCTCTCCCTGCAGCCATGGCAGGACACACATCCCCCACCTCTCTCCAGCCCCTGTCAGGGAGTTGCAGAGAGCCATGAGGTCACCCCTGAGCCTCTTCTCAAGGCTAACCACCCCCAACACCCTCAGCCCTTGCCCATGTGCTCTAGCCCTTTGCTGCCCTCGTTGCCCTTGGCTGGACTCACTCCAGTGCCTCAATGGCCTTTGGGCAGTGAGTGCCCAAAGCTGAGCACAGCACTGAGCTGGGACCTCCCCAGTGCCCAGTGCAGGGGGATGAGCACTGCCCTGGTCCTGCTGCCACACTGCTCTGGAGCCAGGCTTAGGACAGGCAGAGTTATTCCTCAAGTGAAGCATCTCTTCTGGGGTTAGGAAGTCCATGGCTCATTCTGGGGTGCTCTTTGTAGGAACGAAGACCTCTCAAAATGAGGAATTGAGCCAAACACCAACACCTCTTCTCACTCACGTTGCTATGCCCAACCTGCCCAGCCCACTGATGGCCTTAGTGGGTGCAGATCTCTGCCCTGCTCAACCCTGGCTTCAGCTCAGCTTTTAACCAGCTCTGTGGGGAGAATATTCACTTCCTTCCACTCAGTGGAATGAGGGATGTTCCTGTGAGATTTTTTCCCTCCATTATGCCTTTATGTAAGTGGTGACAGGCTGTGATGGAGCTGAAGAAATAGCTCTGGATTCTGAGTGCAAGGGAAATAAAAAAAAAAAAAGAAAGAAACCAAGACTTTCTCCCCCCTTCCCCGAGCAAAAGTAATTTACGTAAATTTATCCACGACCAGCACATGGCAATAGCTCACAACTTTGTTAATGGAAACCTGGTGATCCATAACACTTGTGTGGGAGACATTTGCTCGGGGGTAATACAATATTAATGTTAATATCAATGATCGATCAGAGGATTTGCAAGAAAGGCATAAAGTCTTTAATTATAATTACATTGGGAATGGCTGTGTAATGGCTACGACATTTGAATAAGGTCACGTCTAGCCCTCACCCCTGTTATGTTGTTCTATATTAAATGCCATTCACTTTAAGTGCTGGAAACCTTTCTAGAGTCTTCAGAATATAATATAGTGGCTAAATTGAAATCTGTCCTTTCATTTTTTGGAGAATATGATTGATATCTTTTGCAAAACAAATGTTAACACCTATTTGTACACAAATTTCTTTGATTATATGTTAGGGAAACTCAAGGATGACAGTGTCTCTCCTAGCAGGCACTTTACAGTGAGCAAAGGACATGGCTATTTGTGCATATTAATTCATCTTACTGGAAATGGGTTTGGATCTCTGCTGTAAATCCACTTGGGTGTATTTCTGCCTTTCCTAATGCATTAGGAAATGCATCACTGGCACAGGTTGCCCAGGGAGGTTGGGGATGCCCCAGCCCTGGCAGTGTTCACAGCCAGGTTGGCTAAAGCCTTGAGCAACCTGCTCTGGTGGGAGGTGCCCCTGCCCAGGGCAGGGGGTTGGGACTAGATGATCAATAAGGTCCATTCCAACCCCTAAATTCCTATGATTCTCTGATTAATCCTACATTGCTTAGTAGCCATAACTGTATCTTCACTGGTCTCAGCAGCCCACTGTGTTCACCTGGGCAAGGTGTAGCTTAGGAGGAACTTTTACTGCCATTGAGTTAACTTTTGCTCACAGCATTCACAAAGAACACAGAGGAACAATCACATTTACATGTTTCACAGCAGAAAATCTGTATTTCCAATAGACTGCAGATGTAGACTGACTATCAGGCTAACAGCAGCATTGGCATGTTTAAAACAGGGAAAAAATCTGCATATAAAGCATGAATATACAGCTGTAGGCAGGATGCTAGGGGGCCACATGTACCAACCCACACGTGAGTGCATGCAGACACTGAAGCACTAAGTGAGGACATGCTCTTCCCACACCTATTTACTACTGAGCATAAATACTAAAGGGGCAAATCCTCATCCCTCTTCAAATGAGAATCCATCTCTGTCCAGTGAGGTTTTCTTCTTTTTCTAACATCAATGTAACCAGCAGATCAATCATGTCTAATGAGTCAAATTTTGCTTTCAGATCATTGCCCAGAACAACCATTGATTCTCAGGGAATTAAAAACTCCCATTTGAAGGCAGAATTTAGTCTCAAGAAATCAGCCCATCAAAGTCTGGAAGACATGCACTGCTGTAACTGACATGGCTTTCCATCTTCTCTTTCCTGAAGAAGAAGCCAAAGACTTTTTGCATGCTGTGGAAATGCCTGAAGAGAATAAGTTTTACACTTTGCCAAAAAAAATGAGCATTTATTACCAATCAGTATGAAATACCACTGATGGTAAATTTGAAGTGTATGGCAGGAGTTTCAGCATCATGACAACATACATCATGCATTTTTACAACACATAAGTGCAGTGATATTGCTCCCTTTCTCCATAACAATATATAAGAATATATAGTATAAATGTACAGTATATATTAGACACAATGTAAAATAACTTAGGGAAATGTCAAAGCATCTGCATAAAAATTCAAGTCATGCCTGAGCATACCTCTAGCACAATTTTGCTGAATCTTGTCTCATATACCTTCATTTACCTTTAGTTCATGTTGCAAAGATCATTTTCTCTCTCTGTATAGAATTGCTTAAAACCATCAGAATTCTTGTCTCTTTTTTTTCTCCTTTATCTGTAGTAGGTGAAGATTTCAGTAGCCAAGTCAAAGCCAAGATTTTGTGGAGCCTTTAGTAACAAAGTTGTTAGGTATTGGGAAGCAATTCATTGTGAACAAGTTGTACAAAAACAAGTTTTTAAATGCTCCTTGCAGTTCATCATTGTCCATCAGGTTCTGGTCCAAAAAATCTCCCACTGCATGGAAATGGCAATGAAACAGCTTTCTTAGAACTGGATTTCATGTGCTAACATTGCTAGCTGGAAATTCTAAATCTCACCAGCTTTGCTGAAATCATATCAAGCACCACTTTGGTAATTGCTTGCAAGAAGGATCAATAAAAATCTCTTTAATAGGAATATACAACTTGTCTCAGAGCAGGTAGGTGGGATTTTAACTGGGCTCAACACTGGTTACTGCTTGTTGCAAAGTCAGATCTCCTTTTCACACTTGCTAGATGAAATATGGTCAAGAACTCTCCTGCAGCATCTCAAGAAGCTTCATGACAGTACAAGGGGAGAAGTGGTGGTGTGTTTTTAAATCAAGGCATTGAGAGACTCTAAGCCTCTTCATGTTACCTATCAAAGTCTACCAGAGTTCAGCAGCCTTGCAATTAGCTCTCTTGAAAAGATTTTCAATACAACTTCAACAATTTAAACAACTCTGTCCTGAATATACACAAAAACATACTTGAAACACTTAGGAATAACAACATTTTCTAACGAACAATGAAGTAAAGCTGCAAAACCTGTTGGAAACCTGATGTTAAAATGAAAAAATAAGAGAAGGCAGAGTCATTTGCCATGATTCCTTTGAAGAAAATAAATTCCAACACCCCCCCCCCCCCAACATTCCCAGCCAGTGTAAGTCGACAGAATTACACTGGTTTAGATCAGCTTAAGTTCTGACCTATATACTTCAGTGGAGTTAATCCTAATTTCCACCACTGAAAGTGGGATCAAATTCACTTTGTCTTTAATAAAGCAAAGAGTGATAAGCAAATCTCTTCTCTGTCAGATTCTGCTTGAGAAAGGAAATTCTTTGTGCTGTTAAATGATGTCCAAGAGAGTTTAAAAAGCAAAGCTGGAATTTCATGAATCTCAGCGTAGTGAAAACCGATATTGGTAACTGTTATTTATGCTTTAATCTTAGCAAAGTTCTTTGGATACAGACAGAGCATCAGCTGGTGAGGCAGTAACCCTTTCTGAGCACTGCTTGGGAGACAAACGAGGAGGAGGCAGCTGATTTCAGTGACATGAGGCTGCTGAACACACTGCAACTCACACTTTGTTACCACCAATAAATAACATCACATTGTCCAGAACTGGAGATTAATATGTTGTGCCTCCAGCAGATGATACTTATTTTCTTGCCTATTATATTGAGATCTCAGAACAGGCAAAGGGTCAGGGGCTGAAAGGATGTAATCAATGCTAAATTTAATTTCAGAATCCGGTTTTGCTAGGGAGGAATTGTTTAGGCTCTGCCTGTTGCTCACACTGCTTGGAGCAAACCCACAAGGCTCCAGAAGTTTTGGGCTCGATTCAATTCTTTCATGTTTACTTTCAGAAGAGGAAATGCTGTTGAAAGCAGAGTCCATAGAAGAGAGATTGGGGGATGAAGGACTTTTCACTCTGCTTGGTCTCTGCTCCTTATGTTCCCTTTTCACGTTCCTTCTCCTCCGTCTTCGCCTGTAATTCCCATTTTCAAAGAGATCCAGCATGGATTCGCATCCTGTTGCAAAGCTCCAATAGTTTCCTTTTCCCTTCTCATTCCCTTCAGTTCTGGGAACCTGCATTTATTTAAAGGCAGTTCAGTATTTGTATGTGTTACAGATGCTGCTGCTTAGCATCTGCATTCATTTACATTCAAGAATGGTGTAAACACACATGACAAGACTTTTAAGCCTATTCTCTGTCATTATACAAGTAAGATGTAAACTCCATCCCCTTCAATTTGCTCTCTATTAGCACATATCAGACTAGGATATACTCCTTATCTCTACAACTGACAACTTAGAGAGATTTTAAGTCATTTGCAGCTCAGCTGTTTGTTTCCTTTCTTTCCTAGTGAGACTATTCCTGCACCTAATTTTTGTAGCCATGCACAGTTACTGCTCTTACCTTGACAAAACAACTGTTAAGAGATAAGTTGTGTCGGATGGAGTTCTGCCAGGCTCTTTGATTTGATCTGTAGTAAGGAAATTTCTTCATTATAAAGTCATAAATGCCAGAGAGGGTGACTTTATTGGAAGGACTTTGCTGGATGGCCATGGCAATTAAAGCAATGTAGCTGGAAAAAGGAAAACTTGCTGTTACACCATTGCCCCATTCACATACTCAGTTTGAACAGCCACATGGGTACGTGTGCTTAGATCCTGCTGCCAAAAGTTCCAGGTGTCCCAGGGAGAGTGTGGTCACTGTCTGTCCTCCACAAGCCCCTGGGTGACACAG